AGCTTCCGCTTCTTATTTATTTTGCTACTTCTATTGGTCTACTCTTTAATTAATTTGTGATTAGTTAGTTAGTGTCTCCTCGCTTAAAATATTTAACCTGTTCAACGACAACTTCCCTTAGGTCTTCTCGGTAGTTAAGCGGCTGCGTTTTTCTTTTTCTAACGTCTTCAACCTTAGTCATAGCTTGTTTAGATTGTGTTAGCGTTTTTGGCATTTGCTTCTTCTGTATAATTAGCCATTTTTGGTTGATTTTCCCTTATATTTATTTTGAACTTTTTTGTCGTCTTTTTCTCGTCGATTAGACCTGTGTTCATCATCTCCCGAACAGGAAGAGGATGAGGGTACGAGTGCGTAGAGCGCATTGTATTTGTACTGGCTTTTTGGAACCCTTCTCGATTCTATCAGTAGTTGCTGCGTCTAGTTCCTTATATTTCTTTTTAACTTCTTTTGACCGTCTTATCCTCGTCGGCTTGGTCTGTCCACCTGCATTTTTCTCCTTTCGATAGCTATCATAACGTCTCCTAAAGACCTGTTTTTTTAGTTTTAGCGCACTTTATTCTAGAAATCTGACTTTAGCTTCCCAAAACTTATGACTGTCAGTGAAGTGATCATGCGTGCTGTTGCCATTGCAATTATGGCATTTTGTGTTAAGGTCGGAATCAGCAAGTTATGGGAATGCATACGCCTCCGTACTAAAGATGACAAACCTTAACTCTTACCCACAACCTTACCATAATTTCAACGCTAACCTATCCCAAACCTTAATCGCAATCCTTATTCTAACACTCACCCTAACCGTGATAACAATCCTAACCCTATACTTTCCGGAATTTAGCGCAAAACCACACGGATTATGGATGATTCCTGCTCTCGTGACTGGTAGGGGACTTTGCATATGTAATATACTTTAATACTGACTGTGTTCCCTTTGCACTAAAGCAAAATGGGGGCAACATTGCCTGGTCACACCAGGGCGGCGTGAGTTCTTAATTATTGCCATACATGCATATGACGCGCGCTGGATGATGGTCGAGGCCGCGTGGGCCGCAGTGCCCACTTCCATCAACAGTCGGCCGAAAGGCCCAGATGACCTGCTAGTCCCTACTCATGATAGATAAGCCAACTGCTGACTATAAAAGGCGTGAAGCAGAGTAAAAAGAGGAATAGGCAAAAGCCCGTGCGCTCTGCTATACAATGTATATTTGCTCTGTGTGTGTGGCCCTTACAACGGAACACGCGGTATTTACGATGTACAAGCGCCGGGGACCAATCGGAGCAAAGTGTGCTTATTCGGAGTGCGCATTCATAATCAATGCCACACATGAGAATGTGGGGGCACTCCTAGGCATAAACTCGCGTTGTGCCTGCCGCCTACACCTAATCACGCCTCCGGTCTCCTTGCCCATGTCATCACACCGACCCAGGAGGGTGAGGGCAGAGAGGGAGAGACTACGGTAGATGCTGTGCGAGCCGACTATTACTATATACTAATTCACGCCCAAGTCATATTCCCTGCATCCACTACACTATGGAAATCGTCGGAGATGGCGGTTGAACTGTCACCTTTTTCATTGTACATTCGTTGTACTTGAAGGTTACTAGCTTAACTTCAGCACATCTGGAAATAATTGAAAGTCACTTAGTAGTCATCGCTCATACGAAAGAATTAATAAGATTTACACTTACTACACTTAAGAGCTCTATTTTTTACAGCAAGAGGGTCATATAGAAGCAGTGAGTATATACTACCTGATGTGTTCGCTTGACGTATTCTTCTTAAATAACCTTCCTTTCCAGAATTTTATGAAGTGAGGAGGGCTTAGAAGGAGAAGGAAAAAGAGTAGGTTTTTCGGTACCATTAGCTTTTAATTCACGAAGTGAAAATGCAGTCTACGTTTTAGCGGCGCACTTCGTCGGCCACAAAGATCAAGGTCGGTTATGTGCGCTCTAAACACTTTTTCAGCGAAGGTGACTACGTGTAGAGTTATGACCAGAATCCCGTGTGGCACGCTTAGACGAATTGTTAAGATTTTTCGGACACTGCGCTCACGCACGTCTCGCTTGCTCCGAAATTTTCTTGTCGTCGAAACGCGGTAAAGGTGCTAGGTGTTAGGTGGGTCACGGCTTCGCCCACCTTGTGGGACAGCGGTAACCCTTTTAGCCTGTGACCTTCGAACTATTATCTGCCTCTGGATTTTTTTCCTATCTCTATCACTTTGTCAAATCATGGAAAACTGTGATAGTCCACCCCCGCACAATATAATGTTCATAGCATGCGCATGACCATGACTATGTTACCATCACTTATTCATAAGGATTCCCGACGGAATCCGAAACGTCAGGCAAATAAAACTCTTGTTTCAGTGATCGCATCCTCTTCTTCTGAATGTTCATGTCCTTTATTCACTTTTCACAGACTTCAAACCTAGAGCATCAGCTTCGGGAAGTCCTAGACCAGCTCAAGTCCCAAAGCCAACCCCCACAGACAGAGAATGTGGTCTCCGAGTGGCAACCTGTGGTGGTCACCACTCCGCGGGCCGCTTCCTCCCCATCGCCCATTTGGAAGGAACGTGCCGATCGTCTGGAAGAAGAACTGCAAAAGGAGCGTGACTGGTTTCGGGAGGCCGAGGAACGTAATCGCGTATGGCAAGCTGCCGTTGCGGACCAGCATAAGGTAGGTTCACGCCATCTGGTAGCCGACTCCTTCGGAGGGCTCAGAGCCCAGACTACTATAGTAGTTCGCTACTGAACTCCGTCGGGGATTGTGTTGAGGCAGTGAAAAATACATGTTCAGTCATCGCTGCTTGAGGCAACTTGGCACACATTGGCCGGACGACGCCCTGGGCTGAATCTTTGTTTAACACTACATTAGGGTTGATTTTTCCGACAGAGTTCGTCTTTAAATATCGTGTAGACTGTCCCTTTGGGTCCTCTAAAATATCTTATAGGGTCTGGGTCAATTTTATTGGAAATCTGCGTATAGTGCAATAACCTCAGGCAATAGTTAACTTATACTTTATACTGCTTACACTGTTCGGACTCTCATATCAAACAGTTATTTGAGAAGGAAACATCGTATTTATATGCCGTCAGTAAGTAATTACCTGAACCAGACGCATGAGACTATTACGCCTCAGTTGTGAAAAATTACAGGCTAAGTCATTTGCTGGTCAAGGCAGTCGACTCCTATCTGGCTCAGAGGCAAAGTTGTATTTATATGCGCATATTTGAACCCTTCCAGGTGGAGTTATTTATGGCCCTACAAAGGTAACACCAATATAAGTTTTCTTGTTTACTAGAAAATGTTAGTACTTACATGCGTTCTAAGCTTTCTACAACATATTTGTGGACTATTTTTTTTTTACTTTCAACGGGCACTCAGTACGGAAACGGCGAAACTCCCGAGTGGCTTTTCTGATTTTTGAAAGGTACTCTTTATCCTTGCAAACATACAAGTGACATCATAGTCAACATCTCTCTTGACAGCAAGTTCGACCATCTAACTGTTTGTCGATTGAAGTTGAACTTCTGTTGGTCCTGTGTTGCGTGTTCACTCTTCATCCTGTATGGATGATCTGTCAGGCAGCTTCTGCCTGATAGCTCAACGAAGTCCTCTGCTTTAAGCCGCCAATCAAAACAGAATGGCCAGCACAGGCTGCATTGTAGTTGGACTTGTGTCTTCTGTTAACCCTGCGAAATCAGATACTCGTAGCATTCCGAATGGCAGAGCAATAAACATATGGGTTCACTGATCGGACCTCGGGTTGTTTTAGCCTTCGCAACAATTGGCTTACATCAACTCATTCTAATATTTTCAGCCCTTTGACTTTCAAATATTCGTTAAAAACACCTTCGAACATGTAGGGGTCTAAGTAGTGTTTGTACAGGAATCATAACAATCATCAGGCTAAATCTCGGGTTATAGGAAAAGAAAGAAAGCACCAGAATGGGGGATGCGCACCGAACCCTGCGTTGCTGTCTCAGGCAACAATGACCACTGGCGAAACCAGAGCTAGTGTTCCCTTCGTACAGTCTTGCCCGAGAGAGAGAGAGAGAGAGGAATAACTGTGAAGCAAATTCAAGTGGTGTCCAATGGGTGTGTTGCATAACCCAAGGGGGTGGCGCGTATAGTGGCCCCTGCTACGTCGACGGAGGGGTGACGTGTTAAAGTGGCCCTAAGGCAGCCGCGAACATTTGGATACACATGTGTGTGATGCTGGAAGTCGGTCAAGTGCCTGCAGGTCAACGAGTTGAAAATAGCTGTAAAGCTGATAGGACCACTATTTGCTATGAAGTTTTAACCACTAACACTACTTAACTTTGTGATCATCCCTTCTTGACAGGCTGACATTGAAGCGATGCGCTCTATGTTTGAGACGGAGCTACAAAACTTACGGGAACAAAACTGCCAAGCACAAAAGGACCACCTTCAACTCACTGCGCACAAAGGTTAGCTTCAGCTGTTGTCTTGGGTCTTGCTAAGTGAAAAACCAGTATCCTTAACACAGGAAAGGAACTATTTTCCCCTACGTAATGCTCATTAATATCATCTGTGCTTTCAAAGCTTATAATATTTATCTTGGTCTTAGCCAACTGCAAATTCGTTCTACTGAATGCGGAGCCATGAGCACTTTATACCGATTGTTGCTTGACCATAGATTTCCTCATGTACTTTATCCTTTAAGGAGGGAAAGTTATCAGATTGTAACATTGTTTACCAGAGACCAAAGGGACATGGCCAAAATTGTTAAGTGCATGGAATTTCATTCAGAGTGATTTGGACCACCCTTTGTGTCTCTAAGTTTAGGAGTTTCCCAGAATTACCTAAAGGATGGTTTAGGTGTCTGCTCAGGACATCATTTTGTAACTTTTACGCGTGTCCGCTTAATTTTTTTTTAAACTTGCATATTAACATTTACTTAAGGCCCTTCCAACTTTGGTGACCTTGTTGATGATCCGATTGATCAGGTAAGTACCTATCCTGTTTTGGCAAAGCCTACTTTATAGAATATTATTTTGAGTAGTTTTTTGTATTTAAAATCGCTAAACCCAGAGAGGGTGACAATTAAAAAACTAGTACTGCATAAAGTGCTGCCCCTCGTTCTTTGACCTATTGTTGGTCTCAATCACAATTTCCTGTTTACTTTGAATTTAACTGGAAAGAAAATTTTTTCAATTATTCTGACCCATTTATCCGTTCCCTTTGTTTGCATTTTAGAACCCAAAACACGAAATGGCTCCCCAGGTACCGTCTTCTATCACGCACATTTTTTATATACACGTATGATATCTTTTTCCAATGTCTACTAAAATGCCGAAAGCCAGGCACTGAGTGAGCAGAAGCAGAGTATATGTCTTGGGCAAGAGCTTTAGTTGTTTCACTTTTCTGAGTACCACTGCTATAACCAGACACCAAACAAAAAACAGGAATGAACAGGGATTTCGGCAAGCAGAGATCGGTGTTGTTACATAGTTGTATTATTATAGAACGAGAGTCCGTGTCTAAATTAACGAACATAAGCACGATTTTTGCAAATGACGTGATAACTGCTTAGCCGGCTACATCTGGCTGGTCTGCTACCAAACATTTTTGCCTGCATTGATAATTGGTGTGATAGTTACCTGACGGATCTAGTCTCATGCTTAAATGTTAAAAATAATGTTTATCAGTCGGTCTACAAAGTGCGTAATAAAGCAGACGAAGGAGTGGGGGCGGAATCATAATTCCTATTTGTGTTCATACTAACATGTTGGGTTTATTAAACATTTCACCGAATCCTCTAGCTGTATTTATTAACTCTACGGGCAATAAGCAATGACCGTTTGCAGCTGAATAAGAGGTCGCAAAATTGTATAGCTTCAACAAATTCTGCTAGTCTCGTGATTTTTGCATTGTTCCAAGTTCTTTTATAGTCAATTATGAAAAATGGTTTGGGCTATCCCTCCTAAGCGGGTCTTTGTGTGCCGCAAACGTTACCTGTTGTTCAGTTTCCTGAAAGCGAAAGCGTCTGTCGAGTTCGGGACATTACTTCGAAGTTTTTTACTATTTGGGGAAACTAATAATAAGGATCAAAAAGGCATTATGACGTTGAATGTCATCGGACAAAACCGCCTACAGGCAAAGAGAGCCGCGGTTTTCTCTCTCCTCGAACAATAAGTTCTTTGCGGGATAGGAGCAGGGTGGGGTCCATGTTGACCCTATTTTGCTTGGTGAACCACTTTTTAACTCATAACATGCTCATGTTTTCTCTGCTATACACAGTCCTAGACTGCAAGTTCAAATCTCTGCTAAAGTCTTTAAAACGTAGATTTTGCCTTTAGATAATTGTTGTAATATTTATATTTGCCGGTTTACACTATTTTTATACCTGGAGGCGGACGTAAATTATTGGGCGTAAGCAACTTATATATGCTTGTAATTGGTTACAATCCGCTTTTTCCTATTCATGATCCAACGTCCCAACGGACACTATACATTTCAGGCAGTTAGAGGTTTCCCTGATTTCGAAGAATATTCTTGTAGTTGATCTCTACATTCAGGGTTGGTTTAAAATGCAATGAAACTTGTGTTAATGATCACCTCAATTAATTATTTACCGGGATAATTTATATTTTAAGGTGAGAGTTCCCTATAAGCAACACCGTAGATTACTATAGCATAACCCGCAAATTATTTCGGCGCAGCTTATTATTTACTTTAGCTAAGCTACTAGTTTATTGTTTAGTTTAATTTTAATTAATTTAGTTTAGTATTTTGTTAGTTTATGGAAGTGCAGTTGGGTTTAGTTTAGTTTTTATCTAGTTTTATCTAGATTTGGTTTAGTTATTTTTTATTTTACTTTGCTCTTTAATTAATTTAGCTATGTTATAGCAAAATACTGTGTTGCTTATAAGGAACCTCCAACATTTTGTGGGCAGGTGAACTCTCCAATTCAGTGTTTCACAGACAGACAGTGTTTCGTGCATAAAAGTGAACACTTTCGTAAGAAACTGACAAGTTGGTCCTATCGCTTCCTCCATCTGTTTTCTGACAGGCAGGTTAACAGATGAACTTAGTTTAATTTACTGAAGGATAAGCCCGGCACCCCTTACATTTTAACTACCTTGGAGTTAGCAAAAAGAAACGCCCGTGCCTGGAAATGCAATGGCTTTTGTGGGCAGTTGAATAAGCGCCGCCTCGAATCCTGATTAACGCCATCAGGAACAAAGTGCTTAGTTAAAAAATCGAAAAATCGACTGATAAACTAGAGTTAGTAACCTTTGCCCAATTTCACCTCCCCCACGCCGAAATTGGTACTTCATGTGAATTAAAATGTGTGCGTCTTTTCGGGAGCCTTTGCCTAACTCACTGCTGCACTTGCAAAATCATGCCACAGTTCGTCAGGCCATCGGCGAAGTCTTCTAGTCCTGTTCGACACAGTCGGTCGTCAGCGTCGGATGGCATTCCAGTCATCAGTGGCGTTGTCAATGCCAATAATGCGGAACAGACCATGAGCTGGTCATCTGCCCAGGGTTTATCACCGGGCCACCCCCCAGGTGGGCTCAGGCTGGGGAATGAACAGACAGAACCCCCCTGCAGTAGCCCGTCTGTCACCACAGTCACTAGTTGCACCAACACAAGCCCCGTACGTCAGATCCCGGTGAACCTAGAGCGTGCTCCGCCCACAACAGCCTTGGTGACCAAAGCGACGGAAACCACAAATGACGGTTATTACAAGCCGCGGCGCAGGTCAACCAAACGAACTACCAGCGAACAACACATCTGTCAGGACGTCTCTGTTCAGGCAGCTTTAGAAGTATCGAAAATACACTCGACTTATGGTACCAGCACAATCTCTCAGGACTTCCGAAACAAGGGCTTAATTGTCGAAGGCTTGATTGTGCGCACTGAAGATGAGGAAGAGGCAGATATGGAAGCCGACGGAAGCCGCAGCATCCATGTGATACCATGTGGGCCCTTTAACCTACATCAAAATGCTTCGGTAGTGAATGTGTTTACCGCGTTTCACTGGGTTCATCTAAATAATGTTACCCTTTGCTTGTTTATCGTTTCTGGTTGCTCGGTGGGATGGAAGCTGCAAACATGGCAGTGCCAAGTTATGTCTTTTGTTTCTGTCTATTTTGCACTCAGCCTACGCTCAGCAGAGCACACGATGCCCTGGCTGACAGCCTGGCTGAACTTTCAACACTCGCGGCCGTGCGACACGTTCAGATAGTAGATGACTCGAACTCGGTGCACGAATCCATTTCCACTCGACCACCACGAACACCTCAGTCGCCGGCTTCTCGACTTCCTCTCTCATCCACGCCCGATTTGTATCAGCCGGCCACTATCGACAGCAAAATACCGACGCTGAGTAGTCGTCAGACGGATGAAGTGACACCGAATGTAAACTTCGAACATGCGCCTCCTGCTGGGTCCGGTAAGTAGTTTTTCTTTTGCTGGTATCTTCTGCCATCTGATTGTTCGACCATTGATTTCGATAAAGTCTACCATATGCTCCAAACAGGTTGGTGCAGGGAAGGTGACTGAATATGAGGGCCAGTTTTAAATGATTGTATACGTTGCAACCGGCAACCGCACTCTCCACCTTCACCCAGAGTCAAGAAGACTGAAACGGGATACAGTCTTGGCCGCTTTCTCCAATGCAGGCTGGAACACTGTGTGATTTAGTTTTGAATGATAAAGAAAATTTTCAGCCGGACCTACTGCGCTACTTACCCTCACGCACCTGCAGCCGATGTCAAGACAGACTCAAGAAGACCGAGACTGATACTACTACTATTTCTACTACTACCTTCAATGAAGTATCCCATAGATCATCGTCTTTTGCTGTGTTTGGTCGAGCATAAGCAGGCATCGAGGCGGGATCTTAGCTGGTCGAACCGTGTCCGTATCTATTTCATGTTGCGCGATGTGTAGTTGGTTGAGAGAGAGGCCATTCCAGTCGGTGCAATAGAACAAGTTCAATAATGGGTGTCGTGCTACTAATACTGCTACTACTACTACTACTACTACTACTACTACTACTAATTCTACTACTACATGATAGCGCTGCAAATGAACAATATTAGTAGTGATATTATTGCTGACATTAATATTATTCAATGCTGGGGCTCATGTCCCCTCAATCTCAACTAGGAGTTTGAATCTGGATTTACACTATTCCGGTGTGTGTACGACCATCGATTTTGATGAAGTCCAGTAAGTGCACCAACAGGCTGTTAGAGAAGGTGACGGCCCCAGGGGGCATATTATAGTGATAGCGGACGCAGTTAGCGCCAAGCACACTCCTCACCTTCGCCCGGCATCAAAAAGACCAAATGCGACCCGGCATTGGCTGCTTTCTCCAATGTAAGCCAGAAACACCACCAACTTAGTTTTAAGTGGCAACAGACTTTGCGCGGGCAGTATCGCAATACCTACCCTCAATCACCCTTGGTAGGTGTCAAGACAGGCTCAAGGAGGCCGAGACTGATACGGTTACTCCTATTTCTACTAATAACTATTGGCTAAACATGTAGCTGCGTGTTAGTAGTACTGGTACTAACACCGACGCTACCATTTGTCAGAAGTGACGTTAACTAAATCCAACGCTGGGGCTTATATCCCCTTGATCTCAAAAAGGAGTGTGAATCTGAATTTGAACCATTCCGAGTAAATATATGCTTGGGGCCCTCAGCACAGTAGAACTTGCCTTGGTTTCCAACCCCTCAAGTCTATCCATCAGGATGTGTCCGTTTCTACTAGGTTCGGACTATGATACTGCTGCTAAAAGTACGTGCCTATGCGAAAGTGCTAATTCTAGTTATCATATTTCTTAAGGCCACTAACTAGTATACTATAATACGGCCTGTGTATGATCTTTTAGAAGTCGGCACCTAATATGCAGTCCCAAGCTATATCGGGCAACTACTGAACTTATGGGTTAAGAAAGTATTGTTATATAATAGCTCAAGTTCTACCATGTTTTTATGCCACAATGTAGTGCCAGTTGCCGTTTTCAGACTAACTTTAGTCTTACTACAGTACCTAACTCTAGATTTGAATTTACAGACCATCTCCTGCCATCTAGTGTACCAGGGACAGTCCCTGTAAAATAGGGTCAGGTATATTCGGTCTCCTCTGTAAATCAACAAAACGGGTAGGTGAATTTGTCGCACACAGCCCCCCAGAAAGGTGACAGCATTCCTCTAATCTGATGTTTGGTCTACTGCACCCTAATTCCCGTCATCCAGTATCTTCTGTACTGGGCGAAACTGTTGTCCCAAATGAATCAGGGGATCAAACAGATATTTGACACACAAAAAGCTAAGATTTTACTGCACGTGACCTCGTTACCAGTTGACTTGACTCCGCCTGGTATAGTTAAAACTTGATACAGACTGAGAGGATACCGTATGCTTGCACGATTCTACTGATCCGGTAACGAATGCTTACCCTCACGAACACAATACATAGAGTTAGGGTTAGGCTGACGTGTAGGTAGGCATGTAATACAGTCTAATTCAGTACTAACGAACCACCTTATTTGAAGGACAACCGTGGATATATACATTGCTTTTCACTGTCAGTACCTTACTGCCCTTTTCCATTCTTCAAATTGCCATACCACTTCATTGCTACCGTTCCCGTGCCTATCCATGTTGTTTGTTAGGGGGGCGCACAAGCATTCATTTCCATTAAGGAATGCTGGGGCCGATTCTGTGTGACCTTTCCTACTGTCGGTAGGAAAGTTACCAAAAGTTGGCTTACTTACGTCGGAGTTCAGTGCACTATTTCTCTTTGTTTCTTCAAGTATTTGTGAATTGATAGTTTTTCTATCCCGCATCCGAAGCTGAGCAATCGAGTCTGACAGGAACTAATATTATCATGAAATTAATAAGGGATTATGTCTACCTTCATTATTCTCTTCCCTGCTGCAGATATGGCATTGCGCCTGGACCCCACTGGAAATGTGATCCCATACACCCAAATCCTGAATCAACTGCGATCGGACCCAGAAGCACTGAAGCGGTTACGCAGCGAAGTTGAAATACTTCTTTCGGAACAGCTTGTCGATCACGAAATTGATCCACAGGCTACTGGCATTTCGAATGAACAATTAAGAGAACGATTGGATGCCCTGAAGCGGGAAAGAGAGCATCTTACCCGAAAGCATCCCAATTTTGCTGAAATACGAGCGGTATGACTTAGTTACTATATTTTTTAATTCAACCCAATAATATCTTGTCCTAAGGGGGCTTTTAGCACAGAGAGCATCAAGTCACTAGGAAGTTGGGACTTCACACAATCTTATTCAATTTTTTTATTGAGGACAAAGGGAATTCTTTAGAGAGTTATATACTTATGATTAACATCATCAACAACTGCAGACATGTCCTGGCGTTCTGCCTAGAAGATTGACGATCGCGTACTTCGAAACCCACGATCAGATGGTGATATGGTACCTGAACGTCATCTTCAGTCTACTTCAAGCTTCTCTGACATAGGGATACTCATCACTCGTTAAACGAATCAGCAATTTGTTCATCAATTGCAATAAAGTTTAATGCATCAATTTTTTTGCTAACTCGGACATACTTGGCCATTTTGCTGTAACGCTTCATAGTCCAAACGCCAATTTGTGTGTTGTATCATTGGACCACGTAGACTCTGAAGAATATACTATTAAAAAAGGGTATAACAGTCAACTAGATCCTTATGAACCTCTGTCACGAATATTTTAGAATGAAGTTTCTGAATTATTTTACATTCAGCTCAGTTGGCTAGAGCGTTAGCTGGTGGGAGTTTGAATCCCACAGAGGCCACCCAAGTTGTAACAAAAGGGTCAAACTAATTATTTTAATCTGCAAAAAGCGACTAATTAATTATTTTTGCATTTTTATTCTGTTCACAGTCGCACAGCGAAAATAGCTTCAGGTGTGTCTTTGCCAATTTTCCTCCGCTCACTGAAGAAACGCCAAGGGCTTTTCCTCATATTGTTAATGTTAGTTTCGTTATGAAACTCAACTTTGCACGCCATCTTCAAAAATAAATTACATTCTTCGGGTCGAGATACGTTATGCACAAATCCAATTGCTGCTAGTCCGACGGAAGTCTGTCAATGACAAGGGACTAGCCACACAATGTTTAACACAGTTTCTGAAAAAAATTCCTGCTCCAGAGACTCTAAAGTAAACCCTTCGGTAATTTACGATGAAAGTTTGCATATACAGTTGCATCTTCTCATTTATCCTATTTGATCCTGCACATAGAGGAGGCGATACGACTTATGAAATATGCATACATAGGCAGAAATAGATTACCAATAAAAATAAGGAAGACTGGAATGAAAATTTCTGGTTTAATACCTGTTATCAGCCAGTCCTATCCAACCCTTGGGGTAGCAAATCTTGACCAGTTAGTTAGAAGTACGACGTCCTAGCCATTGAGCCACGGACTCGTTGGCCTGTCAGTCGCGATCGAATATATTAAGGGTGTTGGTGGGGCATTCACCGATCGCTTTGCGAAACCCATGTGTCCAGATGTATCTTGATAACGTTTACGTCAAATTAGGTCGGCAGAGACGACACAGACTAGATTCTAGAGGTAACTCAGAACCCATGAACCCAAAGTTCCACTACAGCCAAGTGTTGTCTTCAGGGATATCTTCATCTAACCTTACTAAGTGAATGAAACCTATGTTAAAGTTCCTTCAACCTACCTCAGCATCGTCAGCATAGGTAGCTTTGCCGTTTCTCGTTGACTTGGGAGGAAGAACGGCTCGAAAACATGTAGTTAGTTTTGTTTTCCTCATGATATCACTTTTTACTGTCTACTCTAATGCCTCGGCCGCGATTCGTGAAATAGACAAGAAGAAAGAAAGGGATCGTTTAAGATAGAACACTTTGTGGAATCGTTTCTGCTAGAGGGCCCTCTTTGCAGTCAATTCGGAGCTCTCCAATGACCAATCTGATTGTTGAACTCGATTTACAAGTGCTGGAGAGAACTGTCTTCAGAATTACATTGCTGACAAAGACGGGGGCATCTGGAATGGCCACTTCTGACTTATTAGACATTCATGCCGCCCTTGTCTTTATCTAAAATGTCATTCAACCTATATCACTAGGCGCTGTCTGACTGCTGGTGGAGCT